CCCAGCCCAAAGGGTGCTGCTGTATCCACATCACCCGTCTCGACAACGGTAACCTAACCTAACCTAACCAAACAAGCGGGGGGCGATCGGCTTCAATTTTCGGAAGGAACGGCGGAGTCCTCCGCCGCCGCCACCTTTACTGCCGGACCGGTCGGTTCTCCGCCACTTTAGGCCTGAAAGAGCGAAAGGGTAATTCTAGAATGGACGTTCACTACCTTTTATTTATTTATTTCTAACAACAAATTCACGCAAGTTCCTGAGGTTAGGCTACCGATCGAACATCGAACGATTGCAAAAGACCATCTACGGGAATCGCGAGTAGATCCATCTAACGGGCGCTCGCGTGACCTGAACTTTTCGTAGATTGCCGATAATGCAGCTGCCTGTAATTCGGGCGCGAAATTGAGCGCGAGGTTCACCAGACCGACCGTCAGATGACGGAAGGCGCACGAACGCGAAGGGCCCCCTTTTGAACTGGATTCCTTTAATATTTCGGAGCATTTAACTAGCAATCACGTAAGCACTTCCGATCATCCGGAACACCCGCTCGTAAAAGAGAGGGGCTCGACGGGCCGCCGCATTTCGAAAGCGGCGCGACACTTCCACAACTAAAGGACCTTTACGCGGCCGGCGAGCAAGACGTCCGTCTTCGTTCGTACGAGTAGGTCACCGAACCAATTCCCAACCTTCCGGATTGACTGCGATAATCGCCTGAAAAAGATAAGACGTAATTTTTGTTTAAGCGATGCTGCTGGTGGGGAAGGATAGGTACCGCATCCGAGACCCACGGGCTTGCCACGTTCCACGCCATGAGAGGTAACGAGTTGGCGGTCGCATAAGCGTTTTGGCGAGAGGAACGTCTTCCCGCACTTGATCCGAGTCGGACGACGGGAAGCGAGTGTCCTCGTCAGGAGAAGGGTTCCGAGGACCCCCTCCAAAGTATCGTACGAGAGATCAATCTTCTTCCGGGGGCCGCCGGGAGTCTGAACTAGAGAACCCTTACACGCCGGCGGGATGGAGCGCCGCACGACGGAGAGCGCCTCGGTCGTACGTGCCCAGATCGTTTCGTTACTTCAATTTCAATCCCAATTCCATAATTTAAATCTTTAAAGGGGAATAGGTAATAATAAATAACATTATAGAAAAAATAAACGATAATTTGAGGTTGAAGTTTGTACACTTCCTTTTTTTTTGGCCCGAAGAGAAAATTGTCTCGGATCGACCGGAAAAAAACATTTTCTTATAGAATGTGGCCTGTAGAATCCGTAATTTCAAACAGTTCCAAGATCGGGCTACTAGATCAAAAGCTACAGCCCTTTGAATTTTTCGTCGAAATTCTGACAGCGCCAATCGATGGCTCAAACCATTTCTATTTGAAATTTTAATTATACCTTAGCTAGAGCTACATATATTCTCATTAATGTATAAAGTATATTTATACTTAGTGTTTGTTTACAATGAACGTGCACGTAAATATTTCATAAACCGTAACTCGTACATATTCGTATCGTTTCCATAAATTTACTTCGCTGTTTACAATAAACCAAAGATCGTACTTCATAGTAGTACGATCTTTGACCGTACGTAACTTTGAAACATTTTCATCTCTTGCGACTACGCGCAAGGCTTACACATCGTTTACGTAAAAATTACGTTCATTATAAACACCCTCGTACGTTTCTATACAGTTCAACTTTGCGAAATTTTTAAGTTTTACGTATTTTTTACGTATACTCTCATTGTAAACAAGCACTTATTACATAACAATAAAACTTAAATTAAACAATAATAAATTTACAAAAGGTAAAACACTTTTTCCGGTCGATCTGAGACAATTTTTTTTTCGGGCCAAAAAAATTCCTTTTTTACCAAAAATCGACTGCAATTTTGACAGCGCCAATCGATAGCGCTGGTCGAGACCTTTCCAACGAGGGGTCGGAAGGCACATCTACGACGCACCGTTCTCGAGATATTACGGTTTGTCAGAATTTATGGTCGAAATTTCAAACCGTAATATCTGCCTTTTTTTGAAGCCGGAAAAAAAATTTCTGAGATCGAACGGGTAAAAACATTTTCTTACCTAACCTAACCTACCGTTAATCTAACCTAACCTTACCTAAACCTAACCTAACCTAACCTAACCTTAACCTAACCTAACCTTACCTAACCTACCCTTAATCTAACCTAAAAATAACCTACACCTACCCTACACCTACGCTAAATCTAACCGAAACCAAACCGAAACCAAGACCCAACCCAATCCAAACCTAACCCAAACCTAACCTAACCTAACCTTACCCAAACCTAATCAAACCTAACCTACACCTAACCTAAACCTACCCTAAACCTAACCAAAACGGACGGAAGGGGAAAATAGCCCAGTCGGAATCATCTAATAACAGTGGAACGCCTTTACATTTCACTCGGTCTTCGAGGCAGGCTATGCATTGGTCTTGTAATACTAACTTTGCAACTGTCTACTGTCAAGGCCCTCCAATGAGACTTCGAAGGTCTCGGTTTCATTTTCTCGCGTGACTACTGTGGGGGCCTCCCGATGTATAGTGGTAGGTAGGTAGGTTGATTGTCCATACCGGCATGACAACAGCGGAGCTTGCGCGGATAACTTAGAAAAGAAGGCCGAGAGCCCTTGGTAAATATGTATATACACATTAGCAACACGTACCTACGCAAAAATGTGTCAAATGGTTACAAATTATAAAAACAAAGCATAAAAACACACAATAATAAGTCTATAAACATGGACATGCAAATATATAAAATTTTTAGACATAAATAAGTAAGGAACACTATACAGATCTTTTAAAATTTCCGAAAAATCAGTCCACAAATAAGAAAGTTAGCATTGCGCATGCACAACCTATTCTTTTGACACGTCATTTCATTTTCATTTTCTAAGCATTTTGTAGCCTTAGAATATGGAATTTATATGTACCTGCAATAAATGGCAAAAGTGTAAAATGTTGGTACCTACAAAAAAAGTTGATTTTTTACTATGACTTTTTAGTAATAAACGTAGGTACTCGTAGAAAAATTCCTTCCTTCGTGCAAGTCTCGACACAATAACGACCCAAATATCGAACTTAAGATAAGCATATGTAGTAGTGATACAGCCGTAAGGGCAGACAGACAGACCGGCGAGCGGACAGATCGACGGACAGACTGGCGAACAAAGTGACCAGATATTTTTGTATTTTTACGAAAATGCGCTAAAAAAGGCGGCCCGTAGTTTTATAACAACGTGCCCATAATCAACAATTAGATTACATTACAGCCAACAGTGGAAAAGATTTTGTTCTATAAGTCTATTTATTTGTGTTGGATGAAAGTACCCATAGATATACAGATTTTAATCTGTGCCATAGGTATAATCATATAATTAATCACACCGCATTATCTATTGATAATGTGAGGTAGGTAAATATAAATAAAAAAACGGTGTGACTAGCCTCCCGGCTCCGGTATTCATACGAATCCCGGTTTTACTATGACATCACACTAGTGACGTCAGCAATGACCAGGATTATTATAAATCCCGGCGGGGTAAGTTATTTAAACATTCAAGATAGAGTTGATAGCATTATACACTTAAATACGTATAGGATAGGAGTAAAATATTTATTCAAAATTGGTAAATATTTTAATCGTACCTACAACTAGAAAAATATAATAAATTCTGAACACATATATATACGAATTATATTAATAGTGTGAACTGAGTTACTTGTAGATATTAATTATTATGTCTTACATTCCAAACAAATCGATTCATTTGAACATTTTGGTATTTTCTTTAAAGTTGTACATTTAACGTGCTTCCACAGGAGGCATGTGAAGCACACATAATGCAATCAGGTTGATTTTTGATAATTTCTGGATTGCATAACACACACAGCCATTCGTTTTGCTCCCTTTTCGCAATGATTAAATTTTGGACTTGCCAAGCAGCACCAGAGAAAAAGTTACTGAAATATTAAACGTAAAACCCACGTGTAAACAATCACAAACATCGCACCAAGTTGTCAGACAGGATTTATAATAATCCCGGTCGTCGCTGACGTCACTAGCGTGATCTCATAGTGCAACCGGGATCCGTATGAATACCGGAGCCGGGAGGCTAGTCACACCGATAAAAAAAATATCTTTAGAAATTGAGATCGAGTCTATTTACAATTTAAGAGTAACTATTTGATGCTGTTATATGAATACATAATTTTAATGAAAAATATAAAATGGTGTTGGTATAAATTATCGCTAAAATTCCCCAATGGGCTGTATTGAATACTTTTATCAACACTGGAGGTGGGTTTTCTTGAGGGGCGTGTTGATTTTATTAATTTGCTTAGATTTCCTGTTTATAAAAATGTAATAAAAGGAAAAATTCTCCGACATTCTCTCTACAATTAGCTATGCCTTACCCTGTCGAGTTTCGCTTTTCACTTTACTACTGTGTGAAGAGCAGTGCGTATACAAAATATAAAAAATGTTAACAGTAGAATGATAAATATATTTTTTGAATAATTGTATACAGTGAGAAGGAACAATGATAATGATATTACAAAGGTAGGTACTTAATGCGTGAATTAAAATATATACAATGGCGCACAATTATATGTACAAATGAATCTTAAAGGTAATTATTCGAAATTATTTTCACACCAGCTAACTTAAGGAATAGAGTAAATGATAAATTTTAAACATAGTCTAATAAGTCTTAAAAATATCTATATAAAAAATACAGGAAGTGCTTTTACTGATACCATTGAACTTGAAAACGAACGTGATGTTTTAAGCACCTACACTAAAATCTGGCAAGTTTGTATCAACGGCAAATACAATAAATTCTTAATGAGTATATGAAATGTTATATTTAAAGGCACTCACTGTTCACTTTGAACATTATTTTTCTTACAAATTACCCAGTCTATTAAAGTAAATAATGTACAGGTGTGGATAACTACGCTGTAATTTGAAAATTCTACTTCTATACTAAAATTTGAATTACAGAACACTCGATGACTAGAATTTATTGGAAGATCATTAAAATGTGCCATATTTGACAAATCAAACAGAAAGGGGAACAACACGGCCACACCAATTGGTTGAGTACCGCGATCCTATTTTAAAATTTTGTGAAAAAAAAACCCATCCATGAACATTAGCAAACGGCAAAACGATATGGATTGTATCAAATTTAATTTCCTTTCATTATACAGATTTTGATTCACAAAGTGTGAAATCTGTGCTACTACAAACTACAGCATGTCATCAACACAGGAACATAGCATAAAAATGTCGACACTACCAAAAAAAAAATATTGTTGAATGTTTGCATAACTTTTTGAATAAATTTTGGGATTTATTTTATACAAGATACATGAATATGAAAATATGTTAGCTACAGATCGTTCTGTAGAAGAGTACAACATATTTATGTAATAAAAATAGGGAATTATTTACACAACTCGCCTAAGATCATAATTTGTAGACACCAAAATTTGCTTGCTAACAATTATGCCTCTTTTTTACATATTTCAACTAGTAAAAACAGAATTAAACACGCAATAAAATAACAGAAGTTAAAACATTGTCTACATGATGATAATAGGTAAACTGTAAATGACCAAGATCTAACAATAATAAACCCACTGATACAATATGGATGAGGTAATGAGAATGTTAATAAAATATTGATAGAAAAATGATAAAACTTTTACCTTAAAGTTAAAGATTTGCACAATAAAATTAAAAAAATAAAACATAAAAAACTAAAAATAAAAACATATTTTCTACTTTTCACAGATAGCTAAGGTTAATATCAATGAAATTGCAGTCGATGTAGTAAAAGTTGCCTTGCTTTATAAATCTACGCACTCTCTCTAATCCTCCTTAAGTGTCTTTACATCGAAACATCTCTGTGGCACATACCCAGATGCAGATATTTCGACGGGAGGTCTTGGAGCAGGTGCATCTCCAATTGAAACGTACCCCGTCTCAAGGGCCACAATATCGAGAGGCGGTTGATTACAATTACAAGCATCCACCTTTCGTGTAGGATCCGCAACTTGCATGTAAATGGGTAGATTCTCTCTACTATCCGTAGACTTATAGGATTCTAAACTCACTAAATCGACCATTTCACTGTCTTTGCTGGTTTCAGTAATTTGGGACAAACTTAATGGCACATAGCTTGAATTGCAGGGCTTATTCAAGTCTTTGGGTGTAGATTGAGGTAAATGATCGGGCAAGACGTAAGGCATCTTCTGATTTTCTGTCTGTATTACCGGAACAGGTACGTATGAGGGATTAACACTAACGATGGGAGTCTGATCGGTAAGAACACAAAAAGCCGGCGGAGCCGTTTTAGGATTCTCCATAGGCATGGTGACGTAACCTTTGTTACTGATGGGGCGGTTGGCGGAGACGTTTCGTAACCGCAGAGAGTTTGTTTGCAATTCTTCCGTCGACGAAGAGCGCGGCTGCTCCGTACCAGAATCCGATGAATTAGACGAATGGGTTGCAGAATCAATGGAAGCTGTAACACTTTCGTGAGCAGAACTACATCCGCTTGAATCGCCACTCATATTTTGGCTGCCGCTTCTTTTCAACAATAACAATTCTTTATCGGCCATAGTCGGCAAAATTTCGTAATCTTCAATTTTTGGGCACCCATCGTAATCACTTAGGCTGATATTAACAGGTTCGATCGTTAATAAACCTGGTGGTAACTTAACTTCTACATCGATCATTTCGAGATAGCGGAAATACATCCTAAAAGACAAGATGGTGACTGAAAATGTGAAGATATAACACTTACTTTCTGCCTATGTAAACCATAAATATTATAAACATAACGCTGAACGGTAATAACATCCAAAGCAGTATACTTCCAGGTGTGTGGCAAAATGATTCCAGCTCTTCACTCCAAGAGCCTTCATACCGTTCACCATTGAAAATATTTACAGCCCTCACCGAGATATAGAAGGTATCATATTTACCATCAGATCCACAATCCTGTATTCCATATTTTGTCCCTTTAAAAATCAAGTTAGCGTTAATATGAACAAAAGACTGTATACAAGCACAATATAAAAAAAAATGTGATCACAACGATGAGAACTACGTCCAAATGTCTCAAAATATGTTATGAACCTGAAAGCAAGGTTCAGTCGGCTGTGTGAGTGTTTGAACATGAAGCGAAACCAAACAAAGTGATTCATTCCGGAAGGGTTTCCAAGAAAATGGTCGCTAGTTTTGTTGCTAAATCTGGACATATCGCCACTATTGCCCCTGAAGATCGACGAACTGTTAATAATTTGTATACGACTGTTTGTTTGCCCGAAGTGATCAACGAATTGCGAAAAATTAACAAAAATCGTCGCATCCTACTCCACCACGAAAATGCCAGCTCGCACACTGCTTGTCGCACAACAGAATTCTAGGAAGCCCGTTATGTTGAAATTCTTAATCATCTACCATATTCTCCTGACCTGAACCCTAATGACTTTTTTTACTTTTCTAAGAATCAAGAAATAGTTGCGTGGAAGGGATTTGCCAGAACAAGAAGTTGAAGCTTACAAAGTTGCGATTTCAAGTTCTCCAACTTCAGGCTGGGATTACTGTTTTGCGCAGTGGTTCAAAATAATGCAAAATTCTGTTAACTTTAACGGTGAATACTTTGAAAAACAATACCTATGTCCTATATCCTCGTTTGCTTAAGTTCTTTTATTGTAATTAAATCTCACAACATAAAAGGCAACTCTTGTAAGGACAATGTGGATCATTACTCGTTATAAAACGCCAAAGTTACTTTGTACAACACATCCCATATGCTGAGTGCCCAATTTTTAAATTATTGTAGCTTGCAGTTCTTGCCTTGAAGTGGACTCACTTGAAAATCATTTTACAACATTAAAATACACCAAACGGGCTTTGCACCAGATTGTTCGACTGTAACAATCACACAGGTTAGCTCAGACAAAACTTCCTTTTTTGATTGACCAATTTGCCACTAAACTGTACGGAAAAATCAAATAATACCTGTAACATTAATAATTGGATGAGTCCAGTTATCGCCATTTAATTTTTCCTTAAATTTTACTTCAAAAATTTCATTCCTTCCCCTGGGATATTTGGGCCGTTCCCATTCCACCAATATATACGAATTATTCTGAAACGTGACCCCCGGCTGTGAACATTTCTCCGGATCTGAAAAGTCGCTATGTGAATCAAAAAGTACTGCAGTTGAGATACTTACATCCGACTAGAGTTTGAACTAAATAGGGTACAGATGGTTCGGAACAGGACGTGGTACATGCCGTAATGCTAATGCTGTACTCTACATAGCTATACAAATTATATATTGTGTACTGAAAACTATCAAATTAGAATCGTTTAGGTCAGTAAAATTTAGTTACCTCTTCGATTTCGGCTTCAATCGTTTCATTCATTCCATTGTAAATTATATGGTAGTATTTCAATCTGCCATTAGTTACATTAGGCCTATTCCATGTTAGAGAGATAGATGTATTGGTAACATTAATTACATGCAGTCCGTAAGGCCTGCTTGGAGCTGTGTCAGATCAACAATTAATGATGGAATTGGGAGACGCAGACTCACCTGCTTCAAGAGTTGTGGCAAATTGATAGTCACTCTTCTGACTTTGACTGTTATGTTTGGTTATTACAGAAACAGCAAACATATAAGTTTCATACGGTAGAAGTCCTGTTATATTTGCCTGTTCGGCCGTGGAATCATTAATAATCAAGCTTTCCTCTGGACCTATAATTGAAAGCGTAATCCCAAGGATTTTTCTTGCTTAACTCTACCTTTACAGTTAATAACGGACGGTTTCACAATGCTACAATAATAGATAACGAAACCTTCAACACTGCCCACCCGATCAGAACATTCTAATTTCCATGAAAGTTGAATGAGAGTTGAGAACACTTGAGATATTTTGACATTCTTCATTTTTCCAATCGCTTGATTATGAATGACAGTACATGCAGCCCAAACCATGCCACTACTCGACTCCTCAGCATTTGCAGACACTGCAAATTGATGTATAGTATCCTCCGAGACTGTAATGTTATGAACTGTCTGATTGGCGGGTAACTCTTTCCAACTTAGATGACCCTAAAAGTGGCAATGAATTTGAAGAAACTCCAAAAATTACTATCATACAGTGCACTGGTATGGTCTATCTCGGTCATGCGTACACCAAAAAAGCGAATAATTCTTTATGGGCATATTGAGATTCCTCGGCGGTTCCCAAGATAATTCGTACTGCCCATTTCCAAAAGCGATCTTAGTAAATGACAATGGTTCACTTATACCTACAAATACAGTCAAAAAATTTCGTCGTTTAGAAAGAACAAACTTACGATCAGATTGCTTTGGAACAACTAATATAGACTTATGGTCTGATAATCCAATGGTATTTTTTGACCAAATTTGAAATGTATACCTCTGATCAACGCTGAGATTAGTAAACTTGGCATATGCATGTGTTATTTCCAGTGGCCTAATTTCTCTGCAAAAGAAACGACAATCTTAGAATTGCCATAACTCTGATAATACAAAAGAAGAGAGGAGCGCTAACCAAAATCACTCCTTACATGCTTTGAGATAATGCAAAAAAATTGTAAATTTTCTATTTTCGAATATGCAGTAAAAACCGAAATTCCCAAAAACGCCTACCGAGGAGAGAATTTTTTGCATTTCAAGTAACAACATTTGCTGTAACTATGGGATGTTTATCCAACAATTGCGTGTCCAGACGTATAAACGCGATATTGAAATTTGCTTGTGTAGAATCATTCAAGTGTCAATTAAAAAGATTCGGGTAGATAATAAGCCTATATAACAGAGTATAGAGAGTATATAGTATACAATATTTTCGAACTATGAAGGGCTAATAAATAATCGATCTAAACTTACATATTCTCCAATACTTCGACATAATATGTAAAATTTTCCCCATTCGCAACTTCTACAGGAATTTGCTGCCAATATATAAAAACTTCTCTTTGGTTTAGGGTACTACCAGAAGAGATAATTTCAAAGCTGCCAATATTAGTCATCGGAGGAATTCCTGGAACTGAAACACAACATTTCTTTGAGGTGCAACGCAAATTGCCCACTTACTTTTACTGTCTGTGAAGCAAGTGACAGTTGTATTTGTAGACCACAATGATTCATCATCTTTATCGGCAGCATTAGATCTTAGTGACACTCGAATGTCATATAGTGCGTGCGCATATTTCAGACCGGTCACATTAAAATACACATTGTCCATGTCTTCCATGCTTAAAGTGCGCAAGAAGCCGGCTTCCTAAAATGAATTGCCAAAAATGTTTTTTGAATAAAGCCTTGTTACCCGCCACTGTTTTTCGTATTGAGATTGATAAAGGATCCTATGCTGAAGTCCTGGAGGAAATGCATGCATCGATTTAGGAACGGACCATCGAAGATAAAGAGAATTCGTTGTCGAATTGACCACAGTGAGATTTTCAGGTGGGCCCGAATAAACTACAATTTGTATATTGAGCAATGTAATATTCGAAAGGGAGTAAATTACCGTGCGGAAAATGAGAGAACGTGTAATTAAATTGATAGCTACCAAAATGATTTGTAACATTTAACTCAAAATAAAATGTTCTTTGTACTTGTCTATATTGCGGTTTCGTCGCAACAGACCACACACATTTTAATTTCGTTATGCCTCCTTTCTTTACCATCTCTTCTATGTGCGGACACTGACTTGGCATATTCCTACGATTTAAATGAACTACTTGCTTAAAATGATTTTTACCTGCCTGCCCGCACGTGTTGGAAGGTAGTAACTTAGATTGTAACCAGTTTTTGCATAATTTTCAGGCGCAGTCCACGTGCACGTTAAGTTGTCAAAGTTTAGACTGTAGCACTTAAAATCCGTAATAGGAAGTGGTTTTGCTGAAATCAAAAGGCTGGTTAAAATTTGTTCTAACACTCAAAATTAATTATTTGCAGATTGTTTATGCCAATTACCCATATTTACCATACAGTTTATGTTTTAGACTGATTGTTAGTGATGTGTACTCGCTCATAGTAATAATTTTTATTAACACTGCAGTTTCAGAAAGAAACACACCACATTCAAATTGGAGGGCCAAAGTGAAAAATAAAATACTTACTTCCGACAACCACATTATTTAAGCAAACTGCGTTTGTATTGTTCATTAATTTACATGTATATACTGATGCGGATTTCGGGGGTTTGTCTATATGTAAACTAATGCTAGTCGAATTTAGCACTTCAATCTAAAAACAAACATAATTAACAGTATACTTCTTCATATGTCGACGCACCATTTCACTGGGAATAACATCTTGACCGCGAATGAAGTATAACTTGCTACTGGAGTGTTCCGGATGCAGTTTAAGGAAATGATCGTTTAATATACAAGTAATGTCTAACGGATTTCCATATTCAATATTAATGTCCCCATATGGATCAGTATCTACAAAATGGAGATAAAAAATGTTGCTGACAAAAACCAAAAACTTACAGCCTGGGGTGGATACACCCGTATGACACTGACGGTCAGCTGCTACCATTCCAATTATTGTAATGATTATGTAGCACCACCATATACAATTGCCCATTTTAAATTTTGATGTGTTCTAAGAGAAAATCCACGTATTATAATATTCATTAATAATTTCTTAAGCAATACCATAATCAATTTCCCTGAATGAGTATCTTGTTTAAATTTGTACTACTTTCGTAATTCTGGTTAATGCAACAAAATTTTACTGACCAACCAATTACTTACATAGGTAGCACTGTACTAAAGATGTATCATAATTGGAATTAATTCAATTTTCCACATTTTGAACAGCTTTCTAAACTTCATTGAGCTTATTTTTTGAGACAATCTGGAAAGCAAATAAACGAATTAGAAACATTTTGCTAATTATTATAAGTAGGTACTATGAACACTTTACAGCGACGAAGTGGGCAGATTGAGTTGTTTCCGAGTACCTCAAATGCTTATGTTTATTTTAATTAATTCAAACGCTATTCTTGTTCCTCAATCTGCAATCCTTGCCACTGTTGATTTTGAGTTCCGCGATTCATATGAGAAACTTATATGAAAGTTGTCGTTAAGTTCCCAACCCAATATTAACGCGTGATCACGTTCATTTTTAAACATACTGCTGGGTTGAGTGTTACAAGTAGTTATTTGTTAACAAAATTTTATTGAAATATCTCCACAAATAACAAAGTTGAAAAGAGAATGCGCAGATAGAAATTTCTTTGACAAAATTCTTTCTTTTGGTCGTCGTATTAACATCTATTAATTTTAGAAAAAACTGCAGCGCTTCAAAGGATCTCTGTGTTGAGATCTCAAGTCGTCGGATTGACAAAACTATAATGTGATAGTACACACCGGTTATGCATATATGTATATACCCGACATAACTTGACCAGGTGAGCGACGTACAGACACAAACACTAATCGTTACTTGATTTTAATCCGTGCGATTAGTTAGTCAAGCTAGACCTGAGTTCTTACAAGAGAAACACCAACCATAATACTAACAATAATACGCAAAAACCTAAACAGCATTACTGACTCACAACATGACAGATACACCCAATAAAGTTACACGTCCTCGTACAGCTAAAAAACAAAAAACTGTTTCTTGTCAGAAACACACCGCGTTTTTTATTTATTTATTTATTTATTATCCCTCTCTTGTTCTGAGCCCTCAACAAGCTTGCACCCAATTACAGAGTGACCCGCATAGTGCTTTTTAGAGGTGCCCCTGCAGAAGGTCTTAAGTTGTTCCATACTACTCCGGTATTTACCTTACGAATTAGGAAAACTGCAGGAAAACCTAATTCGGAGTAGCCGGCAGAATGCTCGAAACTGGTCTAAGGTAATTCCCATCTCTGCCACAGATGAAAAATGCACCTCAACCCAGGTTCGAACACCCGACCTCCGGTTTTATAGTCCAGCGCTCTACCACTGAACCATAAAGCCGGTATGTCATTTGATTTGATCGCAAGCCATCGCACAAATCCCAAGTAGATACTGATTTTATTTTATTGTCAGTATAATTGAATGTGTCCAGGTCATCCGAAAATAAACATATTTTTCAGATTCCGCCATCAATTTTGCAAACAGGTGATGAAATTCAATTCGCTTCATATTGAGGGTATTTACCAATTTACGTTTTTGTCTGATTAATTTGGATAATACAATATCCGTTAGTAGAGAACTTTCCTAGTACGTGCCATCGAAGTTTCGTCATTGTGCTGTACACATAACAGAGGCTAAAAAGTAAAATGGGCTGCTTTCGTAAATACCATTGAATATTCAATGTAAATCGCTTGCGAGGTACTCCATCGCAACGCAACTTGCTAGAACATTGTAAAAAATTTCGTATCGCATCGGCAAGCATCTCAAGGCCCATCGCGCAATAGCATCCCGTCTGAACGTAGGCTGGCGCGCGGGCTTTTGCCGGTCATTATTTTATTTTCAAAGAAAAAGACAAGCTTCATAACTACCCACCTACGGATAATTTCGCAATCAGCTGAAATTGTACATTTCTACATAAATGATGATAGATTGGCAACTTTGCAAATTTATATCGAAATTGATGAGTTAATGCATAAAAATAACTAGAAATTGAAACAAATGGTTTTCCTGTACGCGTCGTAAGGTAAAGTACAGCTTGGGTAATTGAAATTGTCATTAAATATGTAATTTAAGTTGAAGTATAAAAAACGGTACACAAAATAAACGCACTTAAAACAGGAAATATACACGGGGTCTATAAAAATTTTAATAGGCACAGTCGTACAAGTTTCTCAAGTAGTTTTTTCAGAAGTTGTAATTTTATTGATTTTTAAAAAAATTTTAATCTTCTACAAATAAGGTTCGCTGGTCAACGTTTCGATATATTCAAACCTATTTATTATGCAATAATATAATAAAGTTGACTAACTCAACAAGATAGCGAGAAAATGACTTTCCATAACTATCATGTACATAGGAGCTGTTTTTTTTTAAATTATTTCATTTGATGTGAGAATAAAAGAAAATAATTTAACATTAATTGAATTTTACTTTAATTAACATAATAATTATACTTGTACGTAAAAGCGTTGAATGAAAAATTTCTTGATTAAACGCTAAAAGGGTCACTTGACACAGATTTGGCACAAACTTCTGAAGTTACATGCTTTTGTGATTTAATGTTAAGCACTCAGAGGTTCCACCCCCACATATAAATCAGATTTCCTTACATAGTTTATTACAACAAAAAATTGTGAAATTTCTATTGGAAATTTCAGATGAGAAGAATGTTTGCATTATTTTTTTCTTCATGCTAGACAATTTTTCTTTAAGCGACTTTTGATGTCGTTTTTGGTTCATTCATAAATGAACCTACTCGTATTAGTAGTAGATCTAGCAGTACACTAATCGATTATATTATGTTGTTCCCCGAGATGTTAGCATCTCGGTTAGCATTATAGAATCTGGTACATTAAGTGTACACAATATCTATGATCATCAATTAGCGTAGCTCTTGTTTATACACATATAGAGATTTTCATGATTTTGATGCTGACGCTTTTGAAACTGACCTCATGTCTATTGATTGGCAAGTATTATACAGGCTACCTAATATTGACCAGAAGGTGGAAGTTTTAAACACAAATATACTTCAGTTGTTTGATAAGTACACAGCATGTAAAACAGTAAGGTCTCTAAAACACCTGCCCCGTGGCTTACTGATAATATTAAATTCATGATCTCGCTCACTCGCGCTCGTATTGCTGATCCTTTAACTCGCGCCCAAAAAACCGACAAAACATGGAGCAGTTGACAGAACGAGGAGCATGACGTGCAGCAATGCGAGTGATGTTGCCACACTATGTCTCTGCCTCCTCGTCACGCTACTTCCCATGCTCCTCGGCGAGTGTGTGGCTGGGGTATATGTCAAGTTGATTGGAGGTCATATGTTGTAACGATTGGAATTTATTTGTACTATCCCTGGTCGATACGCCTTGTGCTTAATGAGAAACTGCGGGTTACTAAAGGGCACTGTTGTCGTCTTTTTCAAGAGCTGTTATTTTCAATATTGTTCATTTAAAATACCGGATTCAACTTTATCAATCGATATAAATGAATGGAGATAACTTCTGAACTGTTGGGAAATTTTTTTTTGAAGATATCAATAAATTACTCTAAATGTGACAGTTTACCTATTAATGAATTTTTAAAGTGCCTTCGAAATGACTATTCTCTTTGAAAAAAGTTATGATATCTGACTAGTTATCTGTACGAGTATACGGTTAATTTTGTTCAAACGTTCTAAAATTAATGACGCTATCATTTCAATAGAAAATCAACTGATACAAATCAAATACCTCTACCAAGTTTCAAGCCTCTAGGTCTTTAATCAATGAGTTATCACAGAGCACCAGCCTTTCAATTCTTAATAAACGGATATAGTTTATTCTGAAATGTCCTTTTGATCGCTCAGCAATATAACACATTTTTGGTAGCATCCAAATTTTCCTCAACGTCCCTAATCGTAAGCTCATGACCCCTCGCTAACAAATTCACAAATATTGAAGAACATTACTAAAGATTTATTTACCTAGACTTTTTGGCGAAGTGGAAACAGTATGGTAGTATGTGTATAGAGAAGGACAGTAGGTACCTACTTCAAAAACGTTATTTTCCAAATTTCTTTTCAATCTACCCTACGCGTTAAAAATGTTATGGGATCTCAAAGCTCAGATCAGAGCTGAAACCACGGCTGAAAGCTTGGGCGAACGGGCCTCGCGTAACGCATCATAGGGATTTCAATGTAAAATTCATAACATGCGATTATTGGCTCCCCAAATTATTTTAGAGTAAAAATGTATTAAGGTTTTTTGTAGGAAAAATTTTTTTACGTCAATTAAAGGATCGGAGGATCCTTAATAATGAAAATTACCCTTAGCACTCCTATTAAATATGAAACAGAAAGCTACTTGAGGTTTTTTTTTATATACCGCTTCAACCACTACCGCATTGTCCTACGTGAGCGGCAACACGCGGCCGGCAGTCACAGCGTAGACAGCAAACGCGACCAGAGCGTCCTACGCCCAAGCACCGAACATAAAGTAGTTCAAGCGCATGCAGTTAGACTGAAGCGGCAGACGCGGAAATATCAAATATTTTGACCTGCTGTGCCGCCTCAAAAACGCTTGAGCAGTGCGTGCCGCGACAACCGCACCGGCCGCATGTTTCCGCTCACGTGGACAATGTGAAGGGTTATTAGCGGGAGTTTATTTGGTTACAATAGTTAAAAATTACATGTTTAAGCGTTTAATTCATTTTTGAATACCGGAGGCATTTTATCTCAGTTTTTGCGGTTTACATTTGGTCATGATAAAACATTGTCACCCATCCTCTAACTATAAATCAACCTAAAGCTACGTCATTATCCGAATTATAATAATTTATGGGTGTTCCAGAAATGACTTCGGTAAAAAGAATATTTGAATTGGCCATTATATCTCGAAAATGCATAGTTGAGCCGCTTTAAAAACTATTGGAGGGGAGCGAGTTAAAACAAGATAGGGGAATTTTTTGACACCCAGCTCGCACTTGGAATGAGAGTTTTAATCCGCCTCATATTCAATAGCAGTTAGCACTGATCCGAACTTGTAGGTTGGACATCGCTGTCTCTTTCCGTTTAGGGGGATGGACAAAACCGAGGACAAAACTATCACATAAGGTTCATCCGAGGTTCATCATTTAGATAATTTACTAACAGAAATATTTAATTCTCTCTGAAGCCGTTTCGGAAAATCCCAACTTTTACGAGTTTCCGGTAAGGCGTGGATTAATTAACATTACAGTGAGAAT